TGAGTAAGGGCAATGTCCTTGATCTAGAAATGCTCCCTCTTGTCAGTGATTTTTAGGAGGAGATGCTGTGCCTGAGGGGGATGGTCAACCGACCTCCCAGGGTCCCTTCCAGCTCTGTTGTCCCTGATGGGTTTCTTAGTCATACACTTGGCCATACAAACACTGAAGGGGGGAGCAGAGTCTCCCTTACCAACCACCCACTGGCTTAAAAGGTCCACTCAGGGTTAGCATTTAAAGGGTTGCACGCAGCCTCCCTAAGTCTCGTTAGAGCCCTCCCCAGCTCTAATGAGTCATGAGGCTCAAGTTGCACGTTACCACTTTGAAGTATCCTGGCATGGATGTTAAGTAGTTTCAGAGAGAAGAAATCTCTGTGACTTATTTCTTGATGAGAAAAGTTCAATAGAGATAAAAAGAGAAAGGGGGGGAAAGCTTAACGGGACACTAGAAGAACCATCACTTGATGGTGATTATACAACTCTAGAAGTAGGCCTGCCCTTATCATTACAGATGAGAAAGTAGGACTCGGGGGTATTTCAGGATTAGGCAACTGAGCTAAGTACTTCAGAGTTTCTTCGACTCACTTGGATGGCCTTTTCTCAGCATCTTTTATTCTTTCTGGTGTTTTTTGCTGAGGGCAAAACGTTGTTTGTGTAAGAGCAGAATCCAGCGATGCTCTTGTGCTGGAAGTTGTTGATGGCAGAGATGTCTGCCAGCCCCGTCAGTTATGATCCACAAGTGCAAGATCTCCCTTTTACTGTGCGTATTGCTGCCTACAAGTATGGCTACTTACTTCAAGAGGTTCCTCCAGTAATTTAGGTGTCATAGTCCCATGAAATCTTACTCTCCTTCAAGCCAGTTTGATATTCACCACCATTAGACTCCCTACCGATATCAGTGTTAGAGCACACCTGTATGAACCATTTGTTCACACGGGCTCATGTCGGAACATGTTTACTGTGGACTTCACTGCAAAACCCTCTTTTCTCTTTTAATATCCCCACACATTACACCTCAAAGATAATTAAGTTTCATAAGTAATTAGGAGAAAAACAGAAGCAGATGTCTTCCAGCAATACATTTGGGACTCCCTAGTCTGAGTTTCTCATATCATCGATAGTTTCTTGCCGCCCATCCTGTAGCCAGTCTTGACACGAGTCCTGTAAGCCCTGTGGAATATTTGAAGTGAAGCTTTTGCTGAAGTTCTGGGAAACACTGTTTTTGGACTCATTTCTGGGAAAACTGAAAAGGTCCTTTAGGGCATGTATTGTTTTTTTGAGGTTATTTTTTCCAGTATCATTATTATTCTTATTGAATCAACTTTAACTGTTTGCATTGGACTTTCGCCGATGCAATTGTATCAGTGTCCCTGAAGTGTTCCCAGGTGAAAGTAACTCTCCGTTTCCAATGGGATTAGTAAATAGTTGTGAATGAACCAGGAGGTCCAGAAGAGATGTTCTTTTACTTTCTAGTCTCTTACTTACATGCACTACTTCTCTCACAGTTCACATAGTCGTGATGAAGCCATCAAACCTTGGCTCTCTTTCTTTCCCTGTCTGTAGTGTGAGGAATATTACTCCTCTTCCTAGCAGATTGTGAAAGCTGGATGAAGAGTAATTCAGGTAGCTCAACCTTTTTCCTTGCCATGGGGCTGGATGCTGGGTTTGGAGGACTGGCTATGCACAGGAATGTAAGTAGCTCCCCCCAGGTATGCTGCTTTCCTCCTCCCTCATGGTACCATTTCTCTTCCAGCCTCATCCTCACAGCATGTGCATGCTGTGGCAGTACCTGCTTCATTCCCAGGTCCAGTGTGAGGCCACAGGAGAAAAAAACATGGGCTGGAAGGAATTCTGTGGACTAAATCTACCCCATGGTTTGTTTTTTTTTTTATAACCTGCTTTTATAACATTGGCCACCAAATCTTTGAAAAAATATATTAAGGTCATCAGAAGAAAAGCCAATCTATTGCAGTGCAGCACTGTAAGGCATAGCAGGACCATGCTGTAGCCTACGAGGCTATCGCCTTGGAGATAAATGGGATCCCAATTATGTTTCTTTTCCCTAACTCTAGCAGCAGCTGCTGTGCAGAAGCAGAATAAATATCCTACCCTGATTATCACCCTGCTACTGCAGTAACACCCGAGCCTTCATTCAGGTAACCTCTATTCGATTCGGTACTTAACTGTCAGACCCTCTGCTTTCAGTGCTGAAAAGATGAGCAGAAAGGAGCTGGTTTGTTACAGTGATTGGTGAAAAGGCCATTTATGAGAAATCTGGTGTGTGCTCAGCACATCTTCATCGACACCAGGGTGTGCTGGCCCCTGCCCATGAGTCATGGTCAGCAAGGCCTTTGCTTGGCCAGTGAATTCCTCACCCCAAGCCCAGCTCGGGGAAGGACTTTAGAAGGCCAGCTTTGGTTTAGGAAGGCATGCAGGCTTTGACTGATCAGATCCTGAGGTGTCAGGGTGCAAACGTGGTACGTAAGACAGAAAGCCCCAAGCATGTTAAGTCTGAAGAATATCTAGGAACACCAAGGTGAGAGTAAAGATGGAGAGAAACAGGCTTGCTTTCCCTCCATCTCCTGCTAGCCATGTTTTTAGCATGTTTACTCAATGCGTTGCTTATAGCAAGAGGAGGAGGATGCTGTGTCATTACAGTGAGGACAGGTTTAACAGCTAGAGATTTTCCCTACCTATGTGAGATCGTATTCTGGTTCAAGGAATGGCATTTGTTTACCCTCTCCAAAACAGATGAGAAAGGAATTTCAGCTAAACAGTCTGTATGGCACAGACTAATCTGTCTTGGCAGTGGAGAACAGGAATTCATGAAGTTCCTGAGGAGGCAAAATTTGCTAGAAAGGGAAACAGCCCTCCTTAGACCAACCCAGAACGGAAAAAGCAGATAAGCTTCCTCTGGGCACACGAGCCCATCTCAGCATCCGCGAGCTGAGGCCGCTCAGAGCACAGCTGCTCTGTCTTAGCATGTGTACCCAGCATAACTCTGTTCTGTTAACTCAGGCTCTTCTATTACTATTCCTCTATTGATTTAGGCTTAGTTATTTCATATGTTGATTACTTTTTTGTCTAAAAATGACCTCTATCTTTATATGGCAACTGACTTATTTTTATGTTAGTCTCTTGTTCTTGTTGGACAGAGTTTGGAGGTGATACTGATGCCAGGATCAGGATGTGTTAGAGGTCTGTCCTGAGCCTTCATTAGAAAGGGAGGCTGGATTCAGGGCAGCATTTTGTGTTGTGCTGGTCTGTGTGCAGACTGAGCTTTTTCTGTGTGATCTAAGCTCAACTTGCTCTCTCCTGAAGTTGGGTACTGTACAATACTACTTTGTTTCAAGTCTGAATGTTTAAAAAGGATATTAGGTTGTATCTTGAAAAGGGCATCTGAATTTGGTGTCACAGCATCTGATGCAGCCCAAAAGTGAATCTATGTGTGTGCACAAACAAACCTCATAAAAAGCACCTTTAGGTCTTCATAGGAAAGCTGGCTGCTTTGAGTCTCCACCTCTTTGCCTTGGACAGTCCTCACCTCACACAACTTCTTCGGACCATCCTAAGGCTTAACCAACAGACCAGCCTGTATTGCCTGTAGCAGACTTGGACAAGATTTGGTCCAGAATGAGGTAAAGGCTAAATGTCCTTCACTGATAGAAACATTTCTGTGTGGTGATTTTTTTTTTTTTTAATAGCTTAATAATTTCCATATACAATTGAAAAGAGTTACAAGGAAAAAAATTGCTTCCCACCCCCACCAACTAACGAGAAAGAGCTGGGACTGGAGAGAGACTCATCCCTGGGGTGGCAGGGCTGGGGGGCCAAAACAAGCTGTTAGTTGTGGCAGGGTAACATCTGCTCCTTGCAGCGGAGGTCCGTGGGCGTAGTGACTGGTGCTGTCACCAAGGTTTAGTCAACAAACCGTGCTGGTGCAGCACAGGGAGGAGCAGGAGCCAGCTCCTGGGCTCAGCTGAGTTGGTTCGGCAGCGCTTACCAGGGCAGTCAGACATGAATTTTATCGCTAAAATCAGCTGTGTTTTCAGATCTGACCATACGCTCTGCCTGTCAGCTGCCTAGGAATCGGTTGCTTGCACATAGCTCCTTTCCAGGCCAGTTACGCACTTTGACTGGCACCAATAGCAAAAGAGCATTATTAAGTCTATTAAGCCTGAGTTCACAGATTTTATTTTAGAATAGGAACAGATGGCAAATGGTGGTGGTACAGCTGCCGGGACGGGGAGAGGACGGATGCTGGTTTGTCATTTCAATGGATGCTGGCAATAATTCACGTTTATGTTTATACAGGGCCTTTCCTGTTTTAGAGCACTTTACCAACCAGTTGATAAATAATGGGCTTGGAGTTAATGTGGGCTGGTAGAGCTCATCTCTGTGCTCGTGTGGCCAGTGTGTGAGGGTAAACGTAAGAACATCAGCCTGCACTCCCTACACAGCCTGGATGGGAATTAGGCAGCTGCGTTAAGCTGTACCTTAAGACTACCACTCAGCAGGGATTTCAGGCAGAAAAGGAGGGTAAACAGCTGGAATTCAGAGGGTGGCACTGGTAGCCAGGGTGTCAAGTGGGAGTTTGGGCACCTGGACTCACTCTCCAACAGCTGCGAGAGGTTTTGTTTAGACTCTTCCCAAAGACCTGCCTTCTCCCATGAGAAGCTGCCATAGGGAATAGGTAGCCATGCCATCCCTGTGGAGTCAGACACTGCCGTGTGGGCTCAGCTGGCACTGACGGAGGTGCTGAGGCTTGCTCTCGCTTGGTGCAAATGGGAGGGTGGCCCCAACAGCCTCCTGCCTCAGACACTTGCTCTCCATCAGCCTTGCTGTGAAGGCAGGCGGTGTTTCCGAGCCCAACTTTACCCCAAGCATTTGGAAGTGATACAGGGAGGAACCGAGTTTTTAAGTTGATTGGCTTGCTATCTCATAGCCTTACTGCAGGCTATGAGTTTGATGGATATAACAAGTTAAATGACAGGAGTCTGGGGCATGGAAGTACCAGAAGGGGTACTTTTTAGCACTTTTTTTGTATATGTTAAGAACCAGATCAAACCGCCACTTATTCCTCCTCCATTACTAGCAGTTCCAGTTACCATAATTGCATCCAGGAAAAACATCACACTAAGAAGAACTAAGTTTAGAAATCCAGAAAAATTGCAGCATCATGGTTTTCCCTCATGTGAAGGGTCAGAACTTCCAGGAAAACACAGGAAGAAGTCATTAAAAGGCACATAAATGAGCAGAAAATGGTATTTTTAGAAAGTTGAAAATTGTTGGAGGTAGATAAAATGTCAACTTTACATAGCTTCCCCTTTCTTTATAATATCTTCAGATCATCTTTTTGGGAAGGCATGCCTAAGCTGAGCAGGACGTGTTAGGATTAATGTGGAATAACAGGGGGAAGCTTTCCAAACAGTGTTTCTCTGGGATGGTCTAAAAACTTCTTTTTGTTTTTAAAATATCTGAAACTGTGAAAAATGGGGAAGTCGCTCTGCACGCATACCAAAAGAGGGCCAACCCCTTTTAAAAGGTCCAGAAGAAGAGGTAATTAAATTCATTTTTATTCAGTTGAGAGTGAACGTCCAGCTACCATCTGCGTCACCTCAAGGGAAAAATCACCTCCTTTACATTGTTTCCAAAGTAATGGTAAGTGATATAAGGAAAGATATGAAATCATGTGAGCAGGGCTGGTCTCTAATTTCCACAGACTTCTGAGCTCAGATATGACTTTGAATCTGGCTGTCCTTAACCAAATGGAAGTTATGTATCTCTGGGGTGTAAACACTGCAAATGGTTGCCCTTCGCTGCATTCAATTAGAGCAGCTGAAGGCATGGCTCAAATATGTTTTTGACAGCAATACAATTAAAAGGTCATGACCTAAAAGTAAGTCTAAAATCCAGTAACCCAGTCCTCCACCTGGCAGTGTAAGCAATTCCTTTCTTTAACCATCAGCCAAAATAATACATGGTGCATAATAAAATAAATGTAATTGAAGTGCTTGGGAGCCGGTCCTTTCCCCTTCAGTAAATACTGAGAGGTTCTCCTCCTCCTCCTGGAAGCAAGTCTTTCTCACCGGTCCAGAGGGAAAGGCAGCTTTCACGCAATCATGGTGATATACTGATGAGACAGCTAATGAAACTTGCAGTCGTGATGCCAAAGTGATGCCGAAACGTCTGGTCACGGAAGGGCGCAGGAGGAGGCTGAGCGTTCGCTCTGCAGACTGCCTCCCGCCCGGCCTTGGCCTTGCTGCGGCGCAGACGCCGGGCTGGCGCACGGCAGGGAGCAGCACTAAGCGCCCACGGTTTTCCCGTAGGGAACGATGCCAGTAAACCAGGTAATGGTTGGTAGGCCAGAGCATACTGCTGTTCTCTGGCTTCGCAGTTGTGCTGAGAGATCTCAAAGGACTTTTGCCAGGAAAAAGTTAAATTATTCTGGAGTTTTATGCTTTTGTCTAGGACCTTCATGGTGTCCTTAAATTGGATATTTCCGTGTTCTCTAACCTTACATTCTAAGGATGCTCTGGGCTGGCAATATCTCCTGTCCTGTCTGTTTATTACCCTCTGTATCATTTTATGCAGCACAGTCAGAATTTGAGGCCAGCTGGCAGCCCAGCTGCATTGTCTGTTTAGCTGCAGGAACCATGCTTTATGCCCCTCTGAGTCCTGATGGAGTAATGATAACAGATAATTGATTGAATGCTTTTTCCTTTCTTTTGTTTATTCCTCTCTTTGAACAGACTCCCTAAATACACAAATAAAATCCTCAATTAAAATTTGTGGATTAATGAATTGAACAACAGATAATTTTTTTTTTTTTTCTTTTCCTGTTGCCTGGATCTCAGGGAGAGTTTCTCTGATTTTCACTTGTGCTCCCCTGTCAAACATTTTCAGTTGTCAAAATGGGTGAGTACACGCTGGGCTGTTGTACGGACACATCAGACGCATCAGTGCTTATCAGAATGCTGAAAGGAGACAACAATTAACAGTCTGGGATTTCTCATGTGCCATTTTGTTGCTGAGTGTGCGGTGTTCACAGTGCCCTGGAAGCCAAGAGCTTGCATGGAGCTGTGACATGGGTCGTAGTCCCCTGTAGAAGGATGGTTCTTAATGCTCTTTGATGGGGCAAACACTGTCTTCCTCAGAATGACATTTTAGAGTTTGTGATAAAGAAATGCTTGTCAGAGTGAGGGCTGCAGGATCAGGATCCCAACGTCACAGTATTATTATCCATCTAAATTACAGCAGTATATGATCACTATGATTGCTCATGCTCAATGGTATCTTTATATTATAAAAAGAACAAAATTGGTCTGAAAGTGTTTTTTATGAACTGCCACTTAGTTTGCAGAACGGAGCACGCGCTTCATGTCTGCAGACTGGAGGTTAGTGGAATACAAGCAAACTCACAGCGAGTGGCAGGTAAAAACAAGAAAAGGAGGCTATCAAAGCTTATAGAGTCTTGTTGCATGCTGAATAAAGCTTTTAGGACTTGTACTGTTTGCCCCAAGCAAAAAGATAATTTTGTTTCTGTTTTGCAGTGAGTATAAGCTTTGGAAGGTTAAATAGAGTGTATTAGGTTATGGTAAGCGGTCATCAGGGGCTTGCTTTACAGTCATGGCCTGTTAAATTGTTTACTGAACCTTATTTTATATATATCTCTCTGAGATTGATGTGAGTCTTAATTCCAGTTTATCTCCTTGTAGACATGAGTCTGTTGAGTTTTTCATAAAACCTGAAAGGACAAACATAAAGTTTAAGATGCTTTTTATTATAAGCCACAAATAGTAAGATGTCACCACAAACATACCAGTCACCCCAGTAAACTTTTAGCATTATGTCACTGTGTAGCATCTTAGCACGTTTTTCTCAACACAGGTTTTTATACCTTTTCTACAACTGTCAGTTATTCTGGCTGCAGCCAGACAGACGTCAGGATCTGATCTCACTGCTGGGAAGAGGTTGGGACAGCGGGGGGACTGGTCATGCAGTGAGCCCCTGTGGCACTCATGTCCATCATGCTCATGGATCAGCTTCTCACCTGCTGGCCTTGAAGCTGTTGTATGTGGTTTTGTTTGCCACAAATGCTGTGCTGGGCACCAGCTATTTGGGAGCAACTTGGATGCCTGCGAGGTGGCTGGCAGGAAGGGGCAACCTGGACAGCAAAGCCCTCTTTCCTCCTCAGTTGGAGCTGGACCCTGCCAGGCGAGCAGAAGTCGATCTGCAAAACTGTCTCTTTGCTTTGGTGCAACTCCTGCCGCTCAGGACATTTCAATTTCAGCATTGTGTTTACAGATAACAGTGTTAACTTCAGACTGCGTTGAGCAGCTGTATCTTGTTAACCTGAAGCAAACAGTTCTGTAATATTTCAGCAAGAGATGTGAGTGTAAGAGAGCTTTATACAGATAACAGAGAACAAGAGTTTTGGGTGCTTGCTTTGGACATTTTGAGATGTAGAAAAAGAGCTGATTTTCAGAAAAATATTTTACCTCCTTCACCTCCCCCCCCCAGCCTTTTAACCCCGCTTCTGGGTTCAGGATACCTAAAACACAGCCCGTGTGTACTAAAGGACAGCCTACAGCTGCTGTGTGGGAACAGCAGGGAGAGGCTAGAATCCTGCGACTGGAGCTTGTGCACTGAGAGATTTCCAACAGCCCCTTGAGGCAGGCAGGGCCAATGACCCTCGTATTTGTACAGCGATGCTCAGTTAATCTCTGTAGAAGAATGTTGTTCCTGTTGTATGGAAGTCAGGTGCTGTTCGGGCAGCCTGCCATTGAAGACCTTTACATGTGTGGTTTATTGATTTGCAGAACTCATAGCGGTATTTCCATGTTTCCTAGCACCAGGACTTGACAATAAGTCCTCAGATAACCTGTGTTGTTGGATAATCCAGGCAAAATGAGAGGCAGGGCCGGGGAACTGCTGGAATACAGGAGCAGGCTGTTGGAGTGCGTCGAAACAGGGTTATAGGAGTATGGGAGGGAGGAGGAGAGCTCAAAGGCAGCTCAATGGCAGAAGATGTTCTGGGATAAATTCCCTTTTGTATTACTTGCACATGCTTATAATCTGTTCTGCTGCTGGGCTTTGGGTTGTTTTGTGGGGTTTTTTTTCCAAACAATTTGTGGATTACACTATGAACAGTGTATGATACCTCTATAATCTATAGCCTTGTGTTGGACCTCTGTAATGTAAAAGGATTTAAAGTTTCTCTGAAAAGGTGGCCAAGTCTGTATTACCAGTATGCTTGTGACGGACTTGCCTTTCTCCACCATTCATGCTTCTTCATGTATGACTCTGTAACTGGGGGATGGAGCATGATCCAATTTATACTAAGTAGAAGTTAAAAACGGAAAATGTGAAAGCTAATGAGGAGGTATAGTCACATGCCAACAAAGACGAAAAGATACATATGAAAATAGAGTCACAGAAGTAGATTATTTTAAATTTGAGATGAAGTCCTGCTGGTATTACTTATGGGCAGGACTTCTTTGTTTTATAGTGGAAAAATGTAAAAAAATATAGTGAAGGTCATTGGCAGGAGTCTGCTCTTTACCTTCCCTAAGAGCCACACATCAGATGGCTTCCCATTCTGCAATGTTTTTGGGAGTGAGGGTCAGATCTCATCCTGCAGAGGACAAGGACACGAGCCTTTGGCCGCAGGGCCCAGCACACGGTGGTCTCAGAACAAACCAGGGATTGCGAGGCTAAAGCAGTTTTCAAAACCAGCCTGTTGTTATTCAACAGGCTAGTGTTTAACTCATGTTACTCTTATTTTAATAATTAGCTAGCAGCCAGTTCCCATACTTTGAAGGGCGTGTTCTGCTTTGGGGGCATGCAATGTGCCCCCTCTTTTCAGTACTCGGTCGTTAAAAACACACTGATTTTCAGGACTGACTGGCAAGTGGCTATTACATGAGTCTGACCTTCATGTTCATCTCACCAGAAGAAAAATATGAAGTTGACCACATTGCCAAAAAAAATGGAAGATGGGTTTGTTTCTGTGAAGTAGTATTGGGTGAACATTTCTGACCTTATTTTCAGGGACCCGACAGCCTGCCGGGGCGATAGGACTTCTAGCTGATAGGAGAGCCAAGACTGCAGCCTTATTTTCAGGGACCCGACAGCCTGCTGGGGCGATAGGCCTTCTAGCTGATAGGAGAGCCAAGACTGCAAGTTGAAAGCACAGAGCAGGGGATGGCAGGTTTGCTCCCCAAGTAAAGGAGGAGATTATTAATTCTTGTCTTGGTAAAATCGTCTCATTTTCTCCCTGCTGGAGCAACATGCAATGAAGTGGTGTCAAAATAATACACACAATACTGTGCTCTTGGATTGAATCCAAGCTACTCAGTCCATCCTGTGAATATTATTTTAATAGATTTTTTCCCTCTATATTTTTACTTCCTCCCAACTATTCAAGTTAGTGAAGAAAGACTGACAGAGACTGGTCATTTCTCCCAGCAGCTGGCAGTGATGTGAGGCTAATAATTTTCCCTATGATTTTGCTAAGCTTTGGATTAAATCCACCGATGTGCTGTCTTAAGTAGTGAATATCCAGCTTCGTTCTGCTTTGCCTGATTCAGAACTGGGTGTTGAATGTGGCTGTCTTTCATCCCCAGCAAATGCAGAGGCTTTCTCTCCTACTGCCTGTGTATATAAATGTGTATCCAAGTGGGACAGGTCCAGTGAAGAGGGAGGGTTGTTGTCCCATCAGTGGAGTCTGTCTCCAGCATCCTCTGGAAGTCTCCTAAACTGGGTTGCTGATACCTCTCTGTCTCTGTTTTGCTGTCTTGAAAATTGTTTTGGAAAACCTTTCCAAAGGGAAATTCTGATGCTGGGGATGCATTTTGCTTTTTGTTGAAGTGGCGTATTTTTGATTGAAGGAATAAAAGTTTTGCTGCAGAAGAGCATTCCCTCTCTAGGGTGCCTGCGCGAGCACTAAACCTGACCACAGGTGGTTCTGCCCTTGACAGCGGGCATAAATAGGGTTAATTATATGGGGACCAGGTTCAGTGACTGCATTTTAAAAAGGTCTAAGTAAGATATTAAATCAGCAAAAAAGCAGCGCTGAGGCACAACAGCCACGGAAGTTGTGTGCTGTGGTAAACCTGTGTATGTGAAATTTCTTTCTAAAAAGATTACAGCGCTTCGTATGACCCCTGCTAATGTTTATTTTACAATGACGCTTTGTGTCAGCTGTCTCAGCTGCACACTGCCATAGGCTATTTCTCAAGTCTGGACTGTTTCCTAGTCAGCGTGAAGTGGACTCTGCTGCCTGATATGAACTGTTGACTTGTCCTGATAGTTTTTGTTGGCAACAAACATAGCAATGAGCCAACTGCAATGGCAATGCGGCCGTGATTTCTGCCAGCCCTTGGGTGTATTTTCCAAATACTGAAGCCAGTGACCTAGCTGAACTGAGATCTCAAAGTCCCTTCATGGATATTACAGAAAAAGACCTCTTTTTAGTGTTTTTTTCATATAATCTGGTAGACAGCAGGATATGAGGGTTTGAAGAGAAGGTGCAGGTGTGATCAGTGGGCTGGGATGTTGCCTGTAACACATAGGGGCATAGGTGTTAACACCTTAAATGTGTTAAACATAGCCTCTACTGGTACTCTAGTAATATTTTCCTTCCTGCCACTGCAGATATACCTGAAGGTAGTAGAGCTAGGAAAAACAACTACTTTTTCTAGTGTGCTGTCCTCTAACTGCATGGTTGAGCTCCTCCGGAAATGACAATTTGTCTAATCATCAAAAAGCTGAATTTTGACAGATGTCGTTTTCAACATCATAGCTGGTCCTGTAGTTACACCAGTTCCCAAAAGACCTCAAGGTCCCTTTCTTAATGCACGCCTCTACTCTGACTGACAAACTGAACAGAAAGGCTTTTTGCCTACCTAAAAATACACCAGACTCGTAAAATGAGCAGTAAGTGCTGTTAGGAAGTCACTGGTTGCCCGGACCTTTGGAGGCTGCTCCACACAGTGGAGTTGACAGGTGTTGTCCCACGCAATGTGCCATTTTCAATCCAGCAAGGCTTAAATTGTTTCATATTTGCACAAACTATCAACTCTCTTAGTTTTATAGCGTAAACGGACAACCTGCAGCATATACTTTGCAGACATGGCTGACAGCAGCTTATTAATCATATTCCGTGCCCAGGCCCAGACAGTGTAGGAGTGACTGACCTTCCATATTGCGTTGGACAACTTTAATATTGAAGGAATAGGAAAACATACCAAATAAGATAAGCACATAAAGGCTGGCTGCACCACGGCTCCTGGAAGAACACATGCTCGTTAGCATGAACACTACAGAAATTCTGGTGAAAACATAGCTGTTCACATGCAAAAGACCAAAAAAGACCTTCCCCATGCAACTGCTGTCAGTGCGATGAATAAACCACTGAAAATTTAACCTGCTTGCCCCAATTCTTTGGCCCATGATGGACAGAGCTTATGTAAAGTGTCACTGTGTGATGTTATAGAAAGTATTGTGTCCTGTATAGTATTTAATGGAATTAAGTTCTCTGCAGGACAGCAAATGCTAGGTGGCTGCCTGGTGACTACAATCGTGTTGGCTGATTAACAAGGAGAACAAAATCCTTCTCTCCTACACAACTTAGAGGAACGCAGGAACCAGGGCTGCAGCTATAGCTGAGTTAAGGTTAATGCTTCCAGTTTAGAATTTTCTTAAGAAGGAATATGCAGGTTAATCATGCCTAGTTACTCTCCATTGCTGTTATGAGTAAGAGCAAAGTCTTATTTTCTAGGGTTTCAAATTCTAAATGGAGGGTAGAGCAAAGCCCATGAGAAGAGTTAAGCCTAAAGAGGAGTTCTGAGTTGCACGTTATCTATCTGGACCTACGCTAACCTCTCACGGTCTCTTCTCCTTTTTTGTAGGCAACATCTTTGTCGTCAGTTTGTCTGTCGCAGACCTTGTAGTTGCGGTTTATCCATATCCTCTGATCTTGAGTGCCATTTTCCATAATGGATGGACCATGGGAAATGTTCACTGCCAGATAAGTGGGTTCCTGATGGGCTTAAGTGTCATTGGGTCCATTTTCAACATCACGGTGATCGCAATCAACCGCTACTGCTACATCTGCCACAGCCTTCAGTACGATAAGCTCTTCAACCTGAAGAACACCTGCTGCTATCTCTGCCTGACCTGGATACTCACAGTGGTGGCAATTGTGCCAAACTTCTTCGTTGGCTCCTTGCAGTATGACCCCCGGATTTACTCCTGCACCTTTGCCCAGACGGTAAGTACATCGTACACCATCACAGTGGTGGTGGTTCACTTCATCGTCCCACTGTCCATCGTGACGTTTTGCTACCTACGGATCTGGATTTTGGTGATTCAAGTCAAACACCGGGTGAGACAAGACTGCAAGCAGAAGCTCAGAGCAGCTGACATCCGGAATTTCTTGACTATGTTTGTGGTTTTTGTCCTTTTTGCTGTGTGCTGGGGACCGTTAAACTTTATTGGCCTTGCTGTTTCGATTAATCCTTCAAAAGTACAGCCACACATTCCGGAATGGTTTTTTGTCCTGAGCTATTTTATGGCCTATTTTAACAGCTGCCTCAATGCTGTGATCTATGGGCTTCTTAACCAGAATTTCCGGAAGGAGTACAAAAGGATACTGCTGACACTCCGGACTCCCAGGTTGCTGTTCCTTGATGTCTCCAAGGGTGGGACAGAAGGGATGAAAAGCAAGCCATCTCCAGCCGTAACAAGCAACAACAACCAAGCTGAAATACACTTATGAGTCAGAACAGTACTATTTATTCTGGATTACAGTTGTATATATAATATATAAGAGCCTTTCTATGTGTGCATTTCACAGCTGGTGTTGCTGGGCCCCTCATGCAAGGAAGGAGTCTGCTTCTCATGCAAGGAAGGAGTCTGCTACCTTTCATGCTTAGCTTATTGCTGTGACATCAAGGCTTTGAATAAGGATTTTCAGAATGGAAATGACTGATCTTTATCCTTTTTTTTTCCCTATGCCATCTTTCACCATGTGCCTAATTAATTGGTTTGGTTGCTTTTGCCACGAGCATGCCAATACCCTCGAAAAGGGAAGTGTTCAGAGTGCATGGAGAAATGCGGTTACGCTTGAAATGCAAACTTCCAGAGCTGGCAAAATCGCCATGTATTAGAAACAAATCTTTCTCCCCTCCCTCTGAATTCTATCTTTTTAGCGTTAACATAACCCAAACTGTAGCAAACAAAGTGTAAACTGCATGACCTTTTACCTTTTCAGTTAGGTAACAGTATTAGCCAGCAGGCATACATATGGGCACGATGACTTCCACTGCGTGTGCATTCGTTTTCCTTTTTCTTTTCTCTTAAGGGTTAGAAGCTAGCCTGGGCTGGATGTGGGGCAGGCAAAAGCCAGACCTAGTCAGTGTCTGATGCACTCATTTTAATCGAATATCTGCAGATATTAAGTACCCTTGCACTCTCCTTCTCAGGCCATGAGTAAGAGTATAACATATGACATAATCTATTTGGAGCCTGATTCTAATTTAGGCAGTATCCTGTCATGGCCAGCATTCACTCCAAATGTCTTTCAGAAGTCCCTGCTACATGAACATCATAAAAAAGATGAACATAGCAGAGTCCCATCTGTTTAATGCAGATGCCGGCCTTTAAGTTCCAATAATATTTACACTTGCAGACAAAGGGAGAAGGGGAAGGAAGTGTTTGTTCCAAACATCTCTCCTTTTGCCCACCACATAACATGAATTTGATGGGGAGTGGGGGGAAGTGGAGATTTTTTTTCCACTTTATTCATGTACAAAACTGTAATTAATTCGTGAAGATGGGAAAGCTACTTAAGCGTATTCACGCATCAGTTCTCAGTTAAAGCCTGAACTCTGTTATCTTTGTCATTTGAAACAATGTCCTGAAGTGCTGGGAAGGCCAGTATCACATTAGAAACAAGCACATGGGCAAAGATAAGGCTGTTTCTTTAATGGAGTGTGTGTGTGTGGGGGGGTGATGGCAGCTGTCTGTAACTATGACTTCTTCTTTTTTTCCTTAGCTTTATTGTGAATTCATCTCCTTATGGTTTTAAATGTGTGGATCCTGCTTTGAAACGGTCCCATAAAATCAACAGGTAAAACTCCCTTGGTGCAACTTTACCTTCAAGCTAGCATACCTGGCTTGATGCTGGTGTACTGAGAGGCACAGCAGGAACTGTGCAATGGAGAGGAGCAGGTCTGAGCCCTGTGGGTCTCATGAGGACAGCAGTCAGCCCTGCTCCTGATCAAAGAGTGCGGTCTTCCCTCTTTGATCATAGTCAAAGCAGGACTAGTTCCAGGGTTGAACCCTGAAACACCGAGAACCAGGCTTTGCAATAGCATGTAGGTGCCTAGAGATGGAGGTACGTAAGATTTACAAAAACCCTGAGCAGGCCAAGTGCCTAGTCCTTAGTGAAGTTAACAAGCCATTTGTGCATTGCTTGCTGAAAGCAACTTGTTGCTGAACGTCCCTTCTGCTGATTTTTGGGGGGAAGATGAGCTGAGAGAGATTAAGCCCCTTTATGAAGAGGGCCAAGAAACGTTGCATGGCGGGCGCATTGCTTCAGTGAGGACTGCAGTGTGTGTGCTGCCATGTGGTGAAAGTTGCTGCAATGCAAGGGGGGGTCTCTGCATTTATAGGGCACCCTGGCCCTTCATGAAGTTTCAAACTTGAACATCTCAGCCACTTCAGATGACTATTGTTTTAAAATGTACCGCAGCCAGCCTCCCATAATAGGAATCAAACTGAGTTCTGCTTTGGCCTCTTAATCTGCCTGAGCGTGGCCAAATAAAGGTATCTTGACCCTCAGAAATAATGTGGTCCGTTTGCCTTCCAGCAAAACCGATCTAGATGAATTCACACCATTCCATGCAAACAAAATAATTTTGTATCAAATTTGGATAAGAAAAGCACCGAGGAATCCATAACTGCAGGGAGTGTTTGTCCCGTTGTGCCAAGATGTCCCGTGTTCTGCGACTAGTCTTCAAAGTCGTTTGCAATTAGTCACAACAGTGTTAGTTAGATTCACATTAACAAATAATTTTAAGCATCTAGTGCCAAGCCAAATATACTCCTTTAAGACAATCATGAAGAATCTTGTACAGGTTTGCCAAATGTCTCAAATATTCCACAACTGGGGTTTCATCTTACAGATCCTTGTCTTTTTAACTGAATGTTCAGTGAAGGCAATGTGGTATTTTTTTTTCCTTAAGCTTGTATTTGCACTATTTCTTATTCAGGCTCCAAAGTAACAGCCAGCAAGCATTTGAACCAAACCAAGTAAGCCAAAAAGGTCCTGAACAGGCAAGCTGTGGAAGTCTCTGCTAGCACCTGGTAGGAAGCGGAGCTGCAGGAGCACGATAGGGCATCTCCCCAGGACTTGCAGAGAGTCACTCCTGAACCAAACTATGCAAAGTGATGGGGGATCTGCTCGTCTTCTGCTGTAGGGTCTGAGTCCGACTCCTGCCCAGGTCTTTGCAGGGGACAGGCTAAGTACCTGCTGTGCTGGGGTGGGTCCTGAGCAGCTCCCTGCATGTGCAGACCCTGCCACCACTCCACAGGGCAGGGATGGATCTGCGATGGGCACCATCCATCTAACAGCACAGAGAGCTTGCCCTAGCACAACCCGTTCAGAAGTGCTTTGGGTGTCCCAGTATAAGTGAGGGCTGCCCAAGGGTGAGCCCAGAGCTGGGACGATTCAGCCGCCATGGTTGGAGTCCTGAGCTCAGTCCTGCTGGAGCTGAGGTTTGCAATATGAAACATGAAAAGCAGGGAACATGGCTTCAAACAGAAAACACTGTGCCATTTGCTAGCACTTTGATACAGAGACAGTGCTTAGGATAGGACTTATTTTAAGACTACCCAAGCAGCTCCTTATTTTTATGTTAAGAAATGGTTGAAAGGGTACAGAGAATTTATTTTGTCAACATTTGTTTACAGAAAAAGGGAAGTGCGTCTTAAACTTGGAATCCTGAGCAGTGTCAGAGTTTCCCTGTGGGAATCTAGCTTTTATCCAAATTTGAGCTTTCAAGGAGATCCCACAGCTTAAACCACGCTCTGCCAATTCCACCTGTTGCATACCTGGCCTTAAGTCTCAGAAATAACATTGAGATCTCCTATAAACTGGTTGTAAATCACTTGCTCTTGATTTGACGTGGTGGTGTTGTATACCTATTCTAGCCCCAAACTCTAAAGTTGTCGCAGTGGACATAAACTTACGAAGAGACAGTATTGCCGTGAAGGAAGATTAATCTCTTGCCACAAAGAAATACTTTTGGATGTTGCTAATGAATGTTGTTTAATCTATTTAAGAAGAATGTAACCAATATATTTATATATAAATATATATTGCATATGCTGTTTCCATTTTATCATTTGATTAAGAATCCTTCAGTATACTTTCCTATTGCTACTTTTGTTCATAAAGTAGATTCATTCCCTTTACCTGTTAAAACTGTAATAAATCTGCCATGGGACTGCTTATTGATTTTTTTTTTTTTCCCACTTGCAGTTATTTTGTAATAAATATTTTGAACAACAGCTTGGGTTTTGTTGACTCCCAGAAAGCAGATTGAATTGACAAATATCATTGAGCTCAGGCATACCTCAGCTGCCCAGCTCAGACCTGGAAGAGAATGACCCAGTGCATCTGGGACATCTCCTTAGATTCACGTGTTTTTCTTCCACCTGCTTGTGAGCCAGTTGCCTGATGCACTTCATTGGGGAAGAAATTTCATCCATACTGCCGTTGGTCTCATCACTGTGTGTTCCTCCAAGGCCCTTTGCCTTTCTTGTGTCTATGTCCATCCATCTGGTGCTGTGGAAGCAAAGACTGTGCCACATCCATTTCCTTGCCCTACAAACTGTGTTGCAGCTGGGAGGGAAAGCACAGCTGTGAACGGGAGGGTGTGGGAGCCAGGGTGGTCACAAGTCAGGGCACGATGTGGCATTTGGGTTGTAGGGGAGGGTTGGGGACAGAGAGAGTCCCTCTGGGCTGGAGGCATAGTGAGAGCTGCCACACACTTGGCCTCCATTGAGGAACTTTGTGAGGATGACAACTGCTGTATCCAAGATGTTCTTCTTTTTTTTTTTTTCCCTCCACCTCTGTTTTGGAGCAGATTTTGCTGTATTCATGTAGTTCTTCAGACAATAGGTTCTGTCCATAGGTTGCAGCAATTATATTTCCATGATGGCTTGACTGGAGCTGGTTTTTGGGGAGTCTCAGTGCCACTTCCGAAGCGGAGGTGATGGGAGTATGGAGGGTGGTCCGGTTGTAACTGCAACTTGAGCTCTCTATTTGATTTTTTACACAGACCAAGTGCCTTGTTCCTGTTTCCTAACCAGATACCATGTGTAATCATGGTGTTAAGGTAGTAAAGGCTGGGATTATCCATTAAAACAAAAAATTGCTGAACAACCACGGAGCAGACGTGTTGAATGAACAAGCACTGTTCATTCAATGACATCCCAGAGCAGTACTGCTACTTTTTTTTTGCTAATCTTTTTCCACAGGCACTGGTCTTCATCTGCTGCTTCCGCAGTAAAACCTGCAATGCTCAGTGATGTAACATGCTGAAAGCAGTGTTTATTATAGTTGCAGATCCCAAAATGTCTGTCTGAGTAGAGCTGCCAGAAAACCCTTGCACAGACTCATACTTGCTATTTCCACCACGTGGAACTGAATGAATTGAACTGTCAGAAGTGAGGTGGTGTTATTTATTTGCTTACTTGCCACAAAGTGTAGTAGCTGGGAGATAAGATACAGCTATAAAAGACAAGAGGTGCGATAATTCAACACGAGGATAAAATCTCACTCATGGTTACTATTTAGAAATCAATATTTGTCCTAATGTATTTACTTCCAGGCTTATAATTTATAACATGAAGCCAGTCAGTAAAGAGCTGCTGCATATGTATTTGGAATTTTATTGGAAAAATGTAAATTACTGGGCCTAATGCAATATTTCTTACCATAAAAGC